TCAGCCCTGAAGGCTTCCACCATTTTGGACTTGGTACTGTTTTAAATATCGGCTTTCCCTAGGTAGGCTTCCTTAAGATTTGGGCGCCTTTCAGGTTCAAATTTTGTTGTCTACCAATCTGGTGTAACTTTGTAACCCTGTTCCCACCAATCTGCTGTTATCTTATGGAGCCATACCTGACAACCTCTCCCACCAACCCCTCAAGGCACCTCTCCTTAATCTCAGGCCCCCCACCAATCTGCTCCGACCAGCAGAGCCAGTAACGTGGACAGTGGACAGGAAAAGTGTCTGGGGATGAAGCACCGACAGGAGACCAGTGATGATAGAAGTTTCTGTGAAGTCTCCCTTTATTGCTCCTTCACCTCTCCTTATATACTCTTTCCCCTACATCCTCATTTAGCAGGATATTGGATACAGACGAGTCCAATTAATCTAGGTGTTTTTAGCCACAAACCCAGTTCCTGTTCCTGCCCAGGCCAAAGAGCACTAATCAACTCCTTAGCCCACAATACCATTCTGCTTCCAGTCCCCTACCAATCTCCTGTGGCTTCAATAATCCTGCCCACAAATCCCTCTCTGCCCCGTGATGCCCACCCCCTCCACAAAACAGGCACGCTGTAGTGCCTGGCTCTGCCCTGAGCATGCTGCCCCTTCCCTGCTTGGCCCCCTTCATCCTTCATCCTCCTTCATCTTACCTCCTACCCTTTCCTTGGCATACCTATCCTGCCACCATGGCAGGAGATGTCCCCTTCTCTCTTCTCTTTCCTCTCTCTGCTTCTGCTCCTGTTCCTACCCTGCTGGAATAAAGGACCTCCTAGGTATCTCACTGCATCTGGTGTCTTGGCTTATTGAGGCAAACTTATCCCAAAAAGAGGACTTGGTTGCACGTAAGAATTAATGTCTTCGAAGTGGGGTGTGCTCACCCATAGGAGAATGAAAGATAATCCACAGAGGAAATACAGGGTGTGATGTCCTTACTGATCTGTATCTCCATAATTCATAGGAAACTAATCTTGTCTATGTACATGTGCTCTGTTCTGCTGCTGACTCCCAGCTGGCCACGCAACAGGAAGAGGAAACCGGTGGGAAGAGAAGAAGTCCCAAAGTGCAGGCTGACTGTGGCGTCTTGCCTCTTTAATTCCATTGAGAAACAGGGCCAACCATACATACTGGGGCAGGTAGATCTGCTGGCGCTAACATAGAATGAAACTGAAATGACTCTCGCAAACAATTCTGTGAAAGAAAGTAAATTTAAGAAGATTTCTTTTGGAGTGCTTTGTGGCCTGATAAGTTAATCTACTGCTTGGCACATCCGCATCTCATACTGAAATGCTCTTTTGAGTGTGGGATAACTGTTTCCAAATCCAGCTCCTGCTTGTTGCCATCCTGAGAGGCAGCAGTTGATGATCAAGTGCTTGTACCCCTCCTGTCCCTGAGGGAGCCTCAGATGGTGCTCTAGGCTCCTGACTGGGATCTGGCCCACACCTGCTTTCATAGGCATTTGGGGATTGAACCAGAGGACTGATGATGGACGTCACCCCACTCCACCCCACTCACGCTCCACCCCCAGACTATGCCTTTCAAGTATGTGAAAATAGATTTACAATGCAAAAAAGGAGGAAGCCATTTTTTTCCTGTAAAAAAGTAAAAACTAAGATGACTCCTTGAGGGGTGGTTTTTGTGTTTTAGTGAGTCAGCCTGTCATTTGGGATACTCACATTCAGTATCAGAGTAGATTCATGTTCTGGCTCCTATGCTTCTGATCCAGCTTCCTGCTAATTCATTTTGGAACGCAGTGGGTGATGGACCAAGTGCTTGGGCCTTGCCACCCTCATGTGAGAGCCCCATGGAGTTCTGGACTGCTGGCTTCAGCCTGGCCCAGCCTTGGCTGCTAGTCGTTTGGGAAGTGAACTCTCTCTCTGTTGCTCCTTCTCTGTTGCTCTGCCTCTCAAGTTGATAAGTACTAAAAGATAATAAAATGATATATAACAAATTTAAAATCATTTAAAAATTGTGAAAACAAGTATTTGGGAAAGATTCTTTAAAGAAAATGCAAGGGAAGATCAAGAAAATACAGATGATGGCTGTTGCGGGTGAAGGAGGGGGCTGTGCTCATTCCAGACCCAATACATCATTCAAACCCCAGCCGGGAACTGGAAAGTGCTGCAGGTGTCGGACATGCCACTGAGCTAACAGGACTCCAGCTGGACATTCCTTACCTAAATAGGACCTACTCAGAGCCTGTGCTGGCTTCCGTGTTGGGAGGGGCATAAAAACCTCTCCCACGTTTCCCAGTTTGCTCTTTTCTGCTCCCTTTCTGGTATTGAACCCGAATGAAGTCTCCTTACAACTTTTTACAATCTGTCGATATTATTCTTCTAAGGGGTGGTAGGTAGGCAATTATCTAACATCAAGCAAAGACAGACAGCAAGAGAGTGGCTGTACAGGTTCCAGGAATGTTTGGGGTGTTTTTTAGATTATTATTATCATTTTATTTATTTATTTTAATAATCTTACTTACTTGATTAGGGTACAAAGAGTCAAGGGCTACAGGAAAGTGGGTAATACCATTGTTTCCACACTAATATCATCATTTTTTTTCCTGTATCTAGGGTCAAGGGAGAAACAAAGGGAGAAGCCCCACCCAACCTCCCACCCATCCCAGATCCCCAATGCTCTGAGGGTCCTGCTCATGCAGTTTTGATAGTTCAACAGTTCTGAATTGCTGCCAATTTCGCCATTCTAATAGTGATGAAACCTATTCAGAATCCACTGGCTGACATAGTCTCTTCATGGTTGGGGTTCTGAGATCAGCAGTTCAGTTGGAGGGATCTCCAAAGAAACTTCATCTGAAATGATCCCAAACCTGATTCTTGTGTAAGTTTGCCAGTACAGGATGTGGCTCTGTCCATCGCCCCAATCAGTTTATGCTCATGCTGGTCATTGCAATTGCTTGATCAGTTCTGTTTCCAACCCTGTCTCCCACACGAACCAATGGGTGTTGCAGTCCAGCTCGATCCTACCCACTTCATACTAGGTCCTCATGCAAACCAGTGGGAGCTGCAGCCTAGTCAGAGCAACCCTCAGTTACCCCCACCAGGCCTGTTCCCTACCCTGGTTCCCATGCTTGCCACTATGTGCCACACGCTTCTTCAGTCTGTCCCACATCCCATTCAGCTCTCATACATGTCACTGGGTATTGAAGCCTAGTTCAACCCAACCAACCCTACTATCCAGCCCACACACATACTGGCAGGTGCCTTTCTGTCTAGCCACCCCTGCCCGTGTCCTGGTTTTTGTGCTCTTCAATGGGAGTGGTAACCTTGAGGAAGGTGCCCACTATCTTCCCTACTGGGCCACTCCCACTCCCAGATTATGTACTCTCCAGATGGTACTGGGTTTAACTTGACAGACTTAGTCCCCCTGCCAGCTGATGCTGCAGCAAAGCCCAACCAACCCTCACCCACTCTAATTTTTGTTTGCACCAGTTGGAACAGTCAACCTAACCTGGTCCTTCCCTGATCTAGCTCACATGAAGCCCACAGGTGTTGTAGCCCTGCCTGGTCTGGTCTGTCCCCATCCCAACTCATGCTCTCCAATGGGAATGATTGTCCAGCAGGGGAGCCCACATTCCTCTGCCCGCCATACCACCCTGAACGTGCTTGATCTCGTCTGGAATCAGTTTTTTGTCAGCTCTCCTAGGTGGAATGATTTGGGTAAATTGATGGGCTGAGTTAATTAAATTATAAACAAAATAGAATGATTTGTTCAAATATGACAAAAAGCTAGCCCAAACTATGGAAATTCTCAAGAATACTGTTAGAAATGTTGTTTTATATACCTGGCATTCATGAAGAAATGTATCCAAATGTGTTTAATCTTACGATACTAGCTAAACGATACCATGAAAACCATCATGTTAGCAAGATGTTTTAATATATTATTCATTTGCAGCTCGACTGGTCTCCCCCAGTTCCTGAGCGGCAGAACCCAGGTCCCTCTTAGGGCCGGTGTGTGAGGGGCTGCAGGCGGGCGCTGAGGGGATCCGGGGCTGTGAGAGGCGGGTTCACTGAGGTAAGCCGCCTGGCGGCTGCGGGGCGCAGAAAAGCGGGAGTCAGCGCTCGCTCTGGCCCGCGCCGCCAGCAAGGTGGCTCCTGCACTCCTGCGGCGGCCGTGCCCGAGCTGCCCGACTCCCGCGTGTGCTGGCGGCTGGGTCCTGGCTCCCCAGATGCCGCTGGTCCCGCTTCCTGCGCGGGGGTGGGGGCGCTTCACGGGCGCGCTGAGGAGAGCCAGGCGGTGCCGCCACCCGCGCCGGGCGGGCAGAGTTGAGAAAGTGGACCAGGACTCGGCGGTTCCACATTGTAGTCTTGGCTCTTGGATTGAAGGGATCGAAAGAGGCCGAACCCAATGAGGAAAAGGCTTATTGTAGCCTGGAATTGGAGGAAGGGGCACGTCCTAGGGGCCCGGGTGCAGAACGAAAGGATGATGCATTCGGAAACCACAGAGAGCAGGATGGGGCAGATGAGCTAACGAATGTCACGGGCCTCAGTGATTTGTGCGACAAGCACGTCTGATGATGTCAATATTTAGTTGACACCCACCGTGCTGAGGTGAAATGTCCGATTTACCCCTTTTTCCTCCCCGCTGGTCTCCACTACCTCCACCCGGTTCCTTCCCCGCTGGAATAAACCTCCTGAGATACTTTTTTTAAAAAAAAGGTCCGATTTATGCATCCCTTGTGTCGCGCCAGGCTTGTCACGGCACCAGGAAATCTGTGCCTGAATCGTGTGCCGATTCGGTGACTTCATCCGGTGGGACACAGGGTTACAATGTGCCCAGGATTCCGCCTCAGGCACTGGTGCCTGGCGTCCTCGCCCGCTGGGTTTGCGGCAGAAGGCGGGCAGCCGGGCGAGGGGACGGGCGTCGGAGGAGCGGCCCCGGAGGCGGCGGGTGCGGCCTGGAGCGCATTGGCCCAGCGCGCCGCCCCTCCTCGTGGGCGGCCCCCGCGGCCTATACAAGCAGCCCCGGCCTGCCGCGGTTCGCATCGGAGCTCTGGGGGACCAAGCGAAGATGGCTGAGTATTTGCGGCTGCCCAATTCCCTGGCGATGATTCGCCTTCGCAACCCTCCTGTCAACGCGATCAGGTAAGACTTTGCAGTTTGTGGCCCGGACTTTGTCCCCTGTCGGCTGTAACTCGGGCCGGCCCTGGCAGACACAGCTGGCTGTTATTTGCCTGGTCTTCTCTCCCCCACCCGCCCCATACCCCGTTCTGCCCCAGGTTAGCTGGGTTAATCTCTGCAAACTTTCCTCTCGGGTAGCATGTGGAAAGTTAAGGTTTAGGCACATAGAAACCCAGCTATTGAGTGAAAGCTGGTTCTGCTCACGGCCGCTGCGTGCTGAACCCTCCAGCTAACTTGCAGTTGTGGCTTCTCAGGTGGACTTTATATTCCACAGGTTCCGAGTTAATTACAAGGATGAACCTTGAACCAGCCTGTGTCCCCAACACAAAATCTATCCTGGCTACAAGCCTTAAGAAGCAACTATACAGTGATTTAACCTTTTTGAAAAAAATGAAAGTAAGTTCCTCGTGTTAATGCGATGAAAAAAGGAGATAGTTCAGAAGTACAGGATTTTTTGTTTTGTTTTGGGCTGGAAGATCATGTTAGAGTAAACCTATTAAATAACATTTTCTTTTAAAAAATGTGTAGGTTATCTGCTTTTCTTCAAGATTGCTTATTTTTATTGGAAAGGCAGATATACAAAGCAGGAGAGACAGAGAGGAAGATCTTCCACCTGATGATTCACTCCTCAAATGGCCCACTGGCTGGAGCTGAATCGATCTGAAGCTGGGAGCCAGGAGCCTCTTCCAGGTCTCTCACGTGAGAGGTCTCTCACACGGGTGCAGGGTCCCAAGGCTTTGGGCCATCCTCGACTGCTTTCCCAGGCCACTTGGGAACATCCAGTTCCCAAGCAGGGGGAACTGGAAGGGAAGTAGGGTAGCCATGAGAGGAACCAGCACCCATATGGGATTCTGGCACATGTAAGGCAAGGATTTAGTCACTAAGTTACAGTACCGGGCCCTATCTGCCTTTATTCCATTGTGGGATAGCTTATTTGTAATGGATTTAGAGTACCACTTTAAAAATGTATTTGTTTCAGAAGGAGGGAGGGAGGGAGGGAGGGAATAAAAGAGAGAGACCTGAATAGCTACTCCAGATACCCAAAGAAATGGGAGTTAGGAGCAGAAACTCAAACCCAGGTACTCTGTATTAAGATACATGGGTGTCTTAACTGTTAGGCTAAGCACCCAGTCTCTACAGCATACTTTTGTGTCATTATTAAAGCTGTATTTGTTTTTATTTGAAAGGCAGATTTTATACAGAGACACACACAGACAAGTCTTCCTTCTGCTGGCTTACTCCCCCAAATGGCACAAGAACTGGAGCTGAGCCAATCTGAAGCTAGGAGTCAGGAGCTTCCTCCAGGTCTCCCATGTTGTTTCAGAGGCCAAAGCAATTGGACTGAGGCTCTGCTGCTTTCCCAGGCCAGAAGAAGGACAGTAGATCCCAAGAGGTGTAGGTGGGACTGGCACCCAATATGGGATGCCAGCACTGCAGGTGGTAGAATAGCCGGATATGTCATGGTGCAAGCACCCCTACAGCTTTTCTTTCTTTTCTTTTTTTTTTTTTTAAAGATTTATTTATTTTTATTGCAAAGTCAGATATATACAGAGAGGAGGAGAGACAGAAATATCTTCCATCCAATGATTCACTCCTCAAGTGACTGCAACGGCTGGTGTTGCACCAATCCAAAGCCAGGAGCCAGGAACTCTTCCGGGTCTCCCACATGGGTGCAGGGTCCCAAGGCTTTGCGCCATCCTCCACTGCTTTCCCAGGTTACAAGCAGGGAGTTGGATGGGAAGCAGAGCTGCCGGGATTAGAACCAGCACCCATATGGGATCCCAGTGTGTTCAAGTCAAATCGCTAGACCACAGCGCCTGGCCCTACAGCATTACTTTTATTTTATTTTTTTTTAAATTTATTTATTTTTATTACAAAGTCAGATATACAGAGAGGAGGAAAGACAGAGAGGAAGATCTTCTGTCTGATAATTCACTCTCCAAGTGAGCGCAGCGGCTGGTGCTGTGCCGATCTGAAGCTAGGAGCCAGGAACTTCTCCAGGTCTCCCACATGGGCGCAGGGTCCCAAGACTTTGGGCTGTCCTGGACTGCTTTCCCAGGCCACAAGAGGGAGCTGGATGGGAAGTGGAGCTGCCAAGATTAGAACCAGCGCCCATATGGGATCCTGGCGTGTTCAAGGCAAGGACTTTAGCCGCTAGGCCACGGCACTGGACCCCAGCATTAGTTTTTAAAGTGAGATCAGGGCCCGGCACCGTGGCGCAAGTGGTTAAGGTCCTCACCTTGCACGCCCGGGATCCCATATGGACGCCGGTTCTATCCTGGCAGCCCCACTTCCCTTCCAGCTCCCTGCCTGTGGCCCGGGAAAGCAGTCGAGGATGGCCCAAGGCTTTGGGACCCTGCACCCGCGTGGGAGACCTGGAAGAGGCTCCTGGCTTCGGATTGGCATAGCATCGGCCGTTGCGCTCACTTGGGGAGTGAATCATCGGACGGAAGATCTTCCTCTCTGCCTCTCCTCTCTGTATATCCGCCTTTCCAATTAAAAAATAATAAAAATAAATCTTTAAAAAAAAATAAAGTGAGATCAGTGCTGCCTCTATGAAATGTGTGAAGATAATTCAGTTTCATTCCTATGTGTCTCTGTAAAAAGAATAGCTGTCCATAAGCCTTGGAAAGAACCACCCATCCAGAGGAAATATGATTAATAGAATTATTTACATAAAATATTTTAAAACACTACACAGAAAAATTTTTGGTCAAAAAATATGTGCTACTGGGCCAAAAACAGACTAAAAGCACAAGACCTGCTAGCCTTAAGTAGTAAATCTTTAATTCTGTCATCAGATTTCATTTTTATCATTACCTTTAATATTATGATTTTTATTTTTATGATATAGTTCCATAGGCTTTGAGATTTCCTATCCCCATCCCCAGGTTTTTATTTTAACATAAATGATAACATTTATTAGTACAATTGATTGCAGAAATAAAATCACACAGGATGATATGTCCACTTACTCTTCCCAGAAAAAACAAAAGATCTGCTCTTTGGTTCTGACAGGAGAAGACATCAGAAATGTGATGACACATTTCTTACCTGAGTACCAATTTGAAATGCCTGATGGCAGCATGCTGGCACAGCCTCTGCCCAGCAAGACTTTAGGGGAAGAAGTTGTGGGGTGCAGCCCCCTTGCCTGGCGATGCCTGTTGTTCTTCCATCTGCTGTCTCCTACCCCTGCAGAGTTGTCACTAATTCCTTCATTAAGCTTTGAGGGGCTTTCAGCGAGTGGGAGATTGCATGCCCAACTTTCAGAGATGCTGGCCATCCTTGTTCCATTTGGGCAGGGAGCCAGTGCACGCCCCAGACAGCAGGCTCTGCTGCTGAGGCTCCCTTCAGCTCAGTGAGCTTTTCTCCACTCAAGAACAAAATCTTCCCTTCCTTGCCTATCTGTTCTTCCCTGAGATGTTTTACAGGTGACAGTGTGTACATCTAGTTTGACAATTTCTCTGCTCTTGATTTTAAAAGATTTTTTTAATTGGAAAGTTAGACATACAGAGAGGAGGAGAGACAGAGAGGAAGATCCTCTGTCCTCCAACTCACCTCCAAAGTAGCTGCAAAGGCCAGAGTCAAGCTGAGCTGGAGCCAGGAGCCAGGAGCCTCCTCCAGGTCTCCCATGAGGGTGCCGAGTCCCAAGGCCTTGGGCTGTCCTCGACTCCCCTTAGGGCCACAGGCAGGGAGCTGGATGGGAGGCGGGGTCACTGGGTCACAAACCAGCACCCATATAGGATTCTGGCGTGTGCAAGGCAAAGACTTTAACTGCTAAGCTACCGTGCTGGGCCCAGTTTCCCTGCTCTTTGTGTGAGTGAGTGTGTGTCATACTTTTCCTTGTTTCATCCTTTCCTTGCTTTCCCGTTCCTATTTCCAGTTTTTTTACAGTCTTACCAACTCCCTAAGAGACACTGAATGTTTTCTTGTCCGAACACTTTAAATCCTGAATTGCTGGTTTGGCCAGCTGTGCCAGCTATCTTTGTGAGGGTGGGAGGAGCCTGATGAGTAGCCCTGTTTCCCCAAACAGTGGTTTTAAGGCCTTAAAAGAACAAAAGCCCTGTATTCCATGTATGTTTGCATAGCAAGTAATCCATTCTTCTATATTTTGTTATGTTCCACTTTCCCTTTTTTTTTTTAAATAAAAAAAAGCCAATTGTAAGCCACAGATTTGACAACTTGAGTGTGTATCTGTCAGAAAGAAAGACCTGCAAGGTGAATGAAGCTGTCTGCTTGGTTAGGGCTAAGAAGATGCGTTCTCTCCAGCCTCCAGCTTTCCATCTCAGACAGTGTTAAAAGGAGAAAGTCATTGCTTAAGCTCCATGTCCTTTACCTGCCAGGAGATTGTGGGTCCCCTCAGACTCAATCTACTAAAACTGTGTCTATGGTAGCTATGGTCATTTTTCCTTCTTTCCTGTTTTTGACTTTTGAAAATTAATAAGAACTTAAGCAATAAAATAAGAAAGGTTGGTTCAAGTAGGAAAGTGTCTTTCTTCCCAGTAGCAATGGTTGAGCCAGTTTTGCTTATTTTGTAACCATGATTTACCCAGAAAAGAATGATGCTTTTTGGACCTCCCGAAGTTGTTTAATGATTCATTGTCAGATTTGCTTACTAGGTTAACAGTCAAAGGTAGCAAGTTTTATTTGGCCTCTGATGTGTTAAGAGGTAAAAATAATTAATGAAAGAAAGTTTGTTTATTTGGTTGCGGTTTAAAGGTCAATAATAATTAGGTGAAAGGAAATTACTATATACATGGACAATAGTCTCCTTTATTTGCTGATGATTTAAACTCATCATCCCTATGTATGTTTATTATAGGTCATGGGAGTATATAGGTTTAAAATACGAATATATGTATTAAGAATATATGTATGTATATTATATTTATATACATTGCACAAATGTGTATTATATACATGTAAGAATATATGTATGTGTCAATATAAAAATTTGTTGATGTCTGTATTCTTTTTATCCTCTGTATTAAAGAACAGATATATTTTACCTATATCCTTTTTCATCCATTTTAAGTTTCCCATTTTAAAATTTTGTTTTAAAGCTTTCTTCCCTTTCTCTTTTCCTTTTTCTCTTGCTATTTCTAATTCTTTGTGGGAACTTATATTTTTTTTAGATCACTGAAATGTTCTTACTTGGGTATTGGCTTTTGCCCCCACACATGCAGTCACGCCTCACCTAGTGAAAGGTGTGGGCTTTCAGAAGGTGGGCAACATATTCTGTTATAGTGAGAATGTTATGGAAGGGCCACACACAGAGTAAAATGTCTGTGACCTACTGAATGGTCTGATACATGGGACATTCACAGACACACACACAGACACACACACACACACACACACACACACACACACACAGTTACTAGATTCCACTAGTCTTACAGAGACTCATCCATACAAATATACAAACACACGGGTGAAAACATTTCATGAAACAAAACCTATGCTAACGTGTCATACAGTTGATTTTGTTCCCATTTCTTATCTCTTCTGTGTCTTTGAAAAACAAAAAGAAAAACAACGCTGGTCACAAGTCAGTAACTGATTTTTGATGATCCTTGATTTTTTTGTTAAAAAACAAAAATTGACCAGAAACGGGAAAGATTTCCTACTGGCAAAGAAACTGTACATTTTTGTTAACCCTCAGACATGTTATTTTCCCTCTAGATTCCATTCTTCTTTCTAATAAAATTAAGGGCCAAAAAGAATTTCCTTCCTAACCCGTTTGGCCTTTCCGTTATGAAGAGGTTTCGGATGCTCTGATCAGCTCGAAACTAGTAAAGCTGTATGTATGACAGCCATTTTACTTTTAAATTCTGTTTTTGATTTTTAAAAGTTAAGAATAATGGAAAAATATGAAAATGGACAGGTGGAATGGTGGAAGCTTGTATCTTTTCATTGGCACAGATTGTATTAATTTTGCCTAATCTTGTAACCATCTTTTTTATTTCTCCAGAAGGAGATATGGTTATTGATCTGCACAATTAAATTTCAGTCAACTATAAACAATATATACAACAGAGGCCACAAAAATTTGTAATGGAGCTGAAAAATTCGCATTACCTATTCATTGTCTTCTTCCCAATCTATGTTGTTCCACAAATCCTTACCATTGTGTTACCATGGCCTACAGTGTTCAGTGTAGGCATATGCTTTGCTGCTTTTAGTCTTAGGAGTTAGAGTCTTTGTCAGCCTAGGTGTGTAGTAGGCCATATCACCATTTCACCTAGGTTTCTGGAAGCACAAGCTACGGGGCTCACACCACAACAGGGGCATTAAGCAGCACTCAGAACATATCCTCACCACTAAGTGACACGTGACTGTAAGCCTTTGAACTTTTGAATATTATGCAATGATTAGAGTCTGTTTTCACTATCAGACCTGGTTCCTAATTAAACAGCTGAAGGCAAGATGTTTTATTTGGATTTGCTTGAGGTTAAGAAGTGAAAAGTAACTAGATAAAAGGTAACTAGGTGAAAAGTTAACTAGGTAAAAGAGCCAGTATCTTCATTACCTGAGGCTTTAATGATTATTTGTCTTAATCATAGAGCCTTTATAAAAGTTTGTTGCTGTTTGTGTATGTATGTGTGTGTGTTTTTACACTGAGATTAAATTTAATTTTATTTTTGTACTTTTTATTATTAGTATTATTTTATGATACAATTCCACAGGCCATGGGATTTCCTTTACCCCTCCCCAGATTTCCTTCCCGTCCCCACTGAGTTTCCCTATATTATTACTATAGTATAGTTCTTCATAAGCAGTCATAAGTCCATCATTGCAGGCATGGACAATGGCAAAGAGTCCAGCATCTTATTGTCAAGATATAGTAAACAGTTTCATAGGGAGTCTACCTTATATCTGGAAGTAGAGATGCCTGCTACATTATATCCTCACATCCGGATATGATAGTGTCCATTACACAGTTACTATACATCCCCTTAAATGAAAAGCCAAAATATAAAATCAACAACAGGAAGAAAAATAGTAACTTACAATGCCATGAAGTTAAATAACATACTATGGTTATGATAGTCTCTATTACAGTTACTGTACATCCCCTTAAATGAAAAGCGTATGTGTATGTTTTTAAAGAGTTTTTAAACCTTTGGTACTAAAGAGCAGAGATTTTATCCCAGATACTCAGAATTCCAAGGCAACACTAATTTGGAACCAGTTATATTGTTTCCATTAGGTAGTACCTCACTGCTTTTCCAAGGTTTGACTCCTCTCCATTCCTCCTCTCTCATTCATTTTTTGCTTCTACTGGGAAAGAGGGGTTAGAAGTTAAGATGTCAGTTAAGACACCTATGTGCCACACTGATGTGCCTGAGATTGGATTCTGGCTCCAATTCCTGCTTCTGTCCTCCTGCTGATGTGATCCTTGAGAAGCAGCAGTGATGGCTCAGGTTGGTGGTTCCTGCCCTCTGATGCTTGGGACAAGGACTGATTCCTGGAGCTCAATTTCATCTCAGCCTTTGTGGACATTTATGAAACGAACCTGTTTCTCAGACGTCTCTGTTTCTCTGCCTATCAAATAAAGAAGGAAAAATTGGGGGAAAAAATTAAAGGCTTTAAAAACTTCTGCTTCTAGGTAGACTGTTTTCTTTGATCTGTGGGACATGGGCTCTCTTGGTGTTGACTCACTCTGTAGAGCTTCTAGTTGTTACTTGAAGATGTATTCAGAGGAACTGCCATCAGCTCTCTTTTTCTTTTCCTTCAGTTTTGGCATCAGCTCTCTACCTGTGGATGACTCCCCTGTAAGTTAGCCTTGTCTTTCCCTCACCTTGCTTTTGTCTCAAGTTAGGATTAAATAAGACTGTTTGTGACATCAAAGTGAATTGACCTAGAAAGTATCCATTTCTCTCATGTAAGTGTCCTGGAATGGTATGGCTGACTCTGTCTTTTGTTCTGTCATTCTCGCTATGGAGCGTCTTCCTCTTGGTACAAGATGGTGCTGCCAATAATCATCACATTTCCCTTCTTCCCTGGAGAAGGAAGGAAAGAAAAAGCATATCCAGTCATTAACTTTTGGACAAAGTTATATATGCCAAAAATGCTTGCATTCCATTGTGTTGAGTTAGTACCTTGGGACAAATTTTATAGCAACTCAAGCTGGAAAATATAGTCTCTGGGCAAGCATGGCTCCAGCCAAAGACAATGTATTTTCATACTTTCAATACATTGTAGGATGAGGCCGCAAAAGCCTATGAGAGGTAACTGGCAGCCCTAGCAATTTGTTTTTCTATTTTGTTTTGCTGTGTTTTGCCAATATGAGATTAAAAGCTATTTCATCATGTTCTAAACTTCCACATGATTTCCTTTGTGTTTGTGTTATAGCACTCAACTTAGTGCACCTAATATGATGCAGCTGTGTGCACGTCACTGTGCAAAGAAGCTTTAATAACATTTTCAAATTGATTACCATCGTTTCTAAATACAGTCAAAACAAAGTACAGGAAAATAGTGCTTTTTAGTGAATTTCTGCAGCAAGTTTAATTCACAGTAGATACATTTGTTGACCAAATTAATGAAAGCTTTTATAGTACATGTATATGTTTTTTATTATGTGCCTGTATAATTGGGAATGGGAAACCCTTCTTGAGATTGTAGAAATTTAATTCTGTTTCGTGTGACTTTGTTCTCTTGCAGTGTATCTGTACTCAATGGTATAAAAGAAGGCCTAGAAAAGGCCAGAGCAGATGATACGGTGAGAGCCATTGTGTTATGTGGAGCAGATGGCAAGTTCTGTGCAGGTAATTAGTGTCTGATTACCTCCCACTTTCTGGAGTCCAGTACCAAATTAAGATGGATTCTGCAGGGCTGTCTCAGTGTGGGCAATGGATGTAGGAGGCTTGAGTGAGAATGAGAAACATTGAGGGAAAAGACAGAAATTTTCAAAAGAGGCCCAAAGAAGACTTTGGCCTTAGTCTCATTGAACTGGGGTGTGCTTTCGGAGGACATACAATCACAGGCCTGATAGCTGTGTCACTTGCTGGCATATACATACTCATATACTTACTCTGCGTAAGTTTCTATCCCATGTGAGCTTGGGCCACTCTGATCTCCTGGACTTCAATCTATCTATAAAAGCAGGAATAGTAAGTTGTGTCTTCAGGGGTTTTTGTGAGATTATGCAAGATAGGAGATTTGGAAGCCTGTATTGTAGGATCATCACACAGAAGATGTTCAACATATCTCATTTTTTTTAACTTACAAAAATTTTTAAAATAGTTCTGCAAATAAAAGACATTTAGTGGTATGGAATTGAGAGGGGGAGATGTTAATTTTCACCACAGGATGCCAGCAAATAGAATAAAGGAAGAATTGTAAGAGAAATTTGCAGTGTGCATAAATGAACAAATGAACTGACCCAGACAGAGATAAGTAACTTAAAGAATATTGATTTTGTTTTTTAAAGATTTGATTTTATTTGAAAGGTAGATTTTACAGAGAGAAGGAGAGGTAGAGAGAGAAAATTTCCATCTGCTGGTTCTCTCCTTAAGTGGCCGCAATGGCCAGAGCTGACCTGATCTGAAGCTGGAAGCCAAAAGCCTCTTCCAGATCTCTGACATAGGTGCAGGATACCAAAGACTGGACCATCCTCTACTGCTTTCTCAGCCATAGGCAGAGAGCTGCATTGGAAGTAGAGCAGCCAGGACACAAACCAGTACCCATATGGGATCCTGCCTTCACATGGTGAGGATTAGCCTGTTGAGCTACTGTGCTGGCCTGATAACTTACAGACTCTTTAAGTAGGATTCATTTGCCTTTTCATACTCTGCTCTCTCAGCTACCAATTTATTGGGATATTATGTAAAGATGCAAACGTTGGATAAAATGTCACAAAATCTCTGAAATGATCACCTGTTTGGTGGAATTTATGACATTGTACTAGTCTGTTTTATTTGATTGTAATGAAATAGCTAAAGCTGGGTAACTATAAAGAAAAGAGTTTGTCTCATGGTTCTGGAGGTCCAATGACCTGGCAGCACTTGAGATGGGGCATGCCATCTGCTTAGAAGAGATCTCTAGCCTTTCTCTTCTCATAAAGGCATCAGTGTTTAGTCATAGAGGCTTCAGCCTAATGACCTTGTCTAATCCTAATCACTTTTCAGAGACCCAGCTCTAAACTGCATAGTCCCTACCTTGCCTCGTTAATACCTTACGTGAAGATTAGATTTCAATACACAAACTTTGAGAGATGTATCCTTTTTTAAAAAAAGAATCTTTTTTTTTTTTTTTGCAAGGCAGACTTTTTTTATTTTTTATTTTTTTATTTTTTTATTTTTTTTTTTTTTTTTTTTTTTTATTGTTGCTTACACAGTATTATGTAGTACAGTTTTATAGGCGCTGGGGATTCCCCCCACCCCTCCCCATATCCCTCCCCCCATGGTGGATTCCTCCACCTTGTTGCATAACCATAGTTCAAGTTCAGTTGAGATTCATTGCTTGAAAACACATGCCTAGCATAAAGTTCAGCGTCTTATTGTCCAGATAAGTTCAGTGGCCTCTTGGGGAGACCTTCTATGGTCTGAAGATAGGTCTAACAGAGTAAAGATCCGGTCAGTTAAAAGCCCCAACAAGGCCTCAGTATCAATATACAACATTATGGAATTAATTGACATAGTAATGGGTAAACAATATGTTAAGAATAATGCGAGTTCCATTCTTCGAAACATCTGGGTTGAGACAGTATCAATGACAGGTTCAAAAAATAACAAACAACCAAACAAAAAATTACAGGTTAAATCAAGGCAAACATGTGGTATCTAATCTTTTGGGATTCACTCATTTCCCTTAGCATTATAGTTTCCAGTTGTGCCCATTTAGCCACAAAGAACTGCAATTTGTTTTTTTTAATAGCTGAGTAGTATTCCATGGAGTAGATGAACCAAAGCTTTCTTATCCAATCTTCTGCTGATGGGCATTTCGGTTGCTTCCATGTTTTTGCAATTACTGATTGTGCTGCAATGAACATAGGGATGCATGTTGGTTTGTCGTAAAACAGGTGTTTTGGATATATTCCTAGGAGTGCTATTGCTGGGTCATATGGCATGCAGATTCCGAGTTGTTTGAGTGTTCTCCAGACTGATTTCCATAAAGGCTGTACCAATTTGCAGCTCCACCAGCAGTGGAGTAGGGTTCCCTTTTCCCCGCATCCTCGCCAGCAAGCGTCGTTGGTGTTCTTGTTTATGTGGGCCAATCTTACTGGTGTTAGGTGGTACCTCATCGATGTTTTAATTTGGATTTCCCTTATTGCTAGGGAGTTGGAACATTTTTTCATATGTTTGTTTGCCATTTGGACTTGTTCCTTTGTGAAATGTTTGCCCATTTCCCTTGCCCATTTGCAAGGCAGACTTTTAAAGAGAAAGAATGAGGGACAGAGATAGAGAGGTCTTCCATCTGCTGGCTCACTCCCCAAGTGGCTGCAACAGCCAGAGCTGAGCCAGTCCAAAGGCAGGAGCCAGAAGCTGCTTCCAGATCTTCCTGTGGGTGCATGATCCCAAGGACTTGAGTCATCTTTTGCTGTTTTCCCAGGCCACGGGCAGGGAGGTGGATGGGAAGTGGAGCCACTGGGACACAAACTGGTGTCCATATGGATGCCAGCACAGCAGGCAGAAGATAGGTCTACTATACCAGGGCACCAACCCCTATATACATAATGTTAAAATACTAGTCCCAAGGAACATAATCAAATCACATCTAAGCCGTTGGAATTGGAAGCACATGGTCCTCTTTTCCAGAATGAATATGCTATACCATTTAGTGAAAGTCACATGAATTTGAAGTCCTATTAATCATAGCCGGAGGAATTTAAAATGTGTTATTGTTATCATAAAAAGGATAGCTACTGGAATTCTGATATAAAAAAGAAAATTTTAATTATAATAATTGCCATATAATTTTCTCACCTTGTGTCAGTACTGTATGAGAATTCAAAATTCATGGAATGAAAAGATGATTTTATTGTAAAAATTTTGAAAATTGTGTATAATTTTTTTCATAATATGAATTTTCTATGAACATTATGAACACTCTTCATGTGTGTAGATTTCATTTTTTGTAACAATATAAGCTTATATTTTTTGATAAGCTTATATTTTAATTCAATTTCTCACAAACTTGTTGAAGTACTTGTGTATTTATTGCTACTAAAAACTGTATTTTCACCATGTTACTTTCTAATCCTCAGTAAATAGCACAGTCCTCACTCTGTGAAAGCTGAGCTGGAGAGATTATAGGGAAAAATCATCATGTTTAAGATATATAAGGAAATATCAAAAAGATTCTACACATGTTCTCAATGTTACATATATATATATGAAACTGTAATTCTTACATTTGTCACTTAAGATAGGTATTAATACAAAAGGCTTAAATAACCTACAAAGGCTATAGAACTATTTACATATATGCATGGGAGAAAACTGAAAATTCACAAAAGTATTGACTAATTCAATCTGTGTGTAATATTTATGGTGATCTTTATGTTCTTTATAATTGTGTGCATTAAAAATTTTCATAATACTTATTATTTTTAAACCAAAAATACATAAAATATTATTACCCATTGACCATAAAAGGTATATCCCAAGCACATAATTCTAAGATGACTGATTTATATTATAACCCACATATAGTATATGATTTTTTTTCTGATATTTTGTGTTGCAATGCCTCATGCTCTTGAGGAATATATGGGGCTAAATATCTGAATAGAGCTGATGAGTAACATCCTGGAAAAATGAAAGGAGCTGACTCAATCTCAGAATGATGGTCTTTGAAAGAGAATATGAGCTTTTTAATTTTTGTAAAGATGGGTTTGCTAACTATCATATGAAATAACAGATTTGGGGAAACCTTAGAATACTTAGAAATATTTGATGGTTCTGTTTTGTCTTGGCTTCATTTCCCAAGCTAACCTGTTCCTTTCTTGGGTTCCAGCCAAAGGATGAAGCATTTCCTGGGCCCAAAGAGATCTGAGACCTCAGAGCGATCAGGTGCCTTATCATATGACAAAGCCCAAGTCTTCCTGAGCCTTATTTCTCCTTGTCTTGTGTCCTCAGGTGCTGATATCCACAACTTCCAGGCTCCTAAGACCTCTGGCTTTGGGCTGGTGGATGCAGTAGAGGAATTACTGAGAAATGAGAAGCCAGTGGTGGCAGCCATAGAAGGCATGGCCTTGGGAGGTGGCCTGGAGCTGGCCCTGGGCTGTCACTATAGAGTTGCCCAAATACAGGTAACGGCTAAGTTTCTATATAAGAGATGGAGTGTGATGTTTTGCTTCTTTTTGTTGTTATTTCTTAGGGTAAGTTCTAAGTGAAGTCATTAACCTCAGAGGTGATCATTTTAAATTGTTGACTTACCATGTAACAACTCTTGGATATGTTTAGCACTGGTGTTCATTGGCTATGAGTACAGTGATACTGATTGCTATCATATTGAAATACTTCTATTGATGGATAAGTAATTGCTACTCTTGGCTCTACTGCTGTCCTTTTACTTCCCTTAACTTTAGCTCCAGGGCCGTCTCTTGATCCCATGATCCACCAACTAAAGGGGAGCTCCTGGGTCACTAGAGAGCCCCACCAGAATTTGCTCTAGTATTATGGCCCACATCAGATGTCATCAAGTCATGCACTATTAAATATTTGACTTTCACCTTTACATATGCGCCTTATTGAAGTTCCCATTTGCTATCTCAGTGACTTCAGTTTTGCGTTCCTTATAATCTTCAGTTCTGAGAAGATGAATTTCTATTGTACAACAACATAAAACTTTCAGATATGTTTATTCCTGAAAAAAAAGATTTAATAAAGGTTATTAGTCATGTCTAATGAGGCCTGTGATACTAATATATAACATTATGTAAAATGGCATTTTTGCAAGTGAAATGTTTTTGCAGATTTGTACAACCATTGTCACAGTCAATTTTAGAACATTTCATCACCATAAACTGAAATTTTGCATCCTAAGGCAATTAAACTCTATCTTCTTCTTTCCCAATCCTAACCAACCCCTAATCTGTCTGTATCCATTGATTTGCCTATCCTGAATATTTCCTGTGAGTGGAATTACACACTATATTTTCTTTCTTGATTGTTTTTTTTGTGGGGGGGGTTGGCATTTAAGTTTTCAAGGTTCACCTGTATTATATCATTAATCAGTTCTTTATTCTTTCTATAGATGAATATCCTATTGTATGGAAAGCCACACATTTTTGTCTATCCTTCATTGTTTCTTTCTACTTTTTTCTTTTATGAACAATGATCCTGTAAAAATTTGCATGCAAGAATAAGTACACATATTTTCATTTTTCCTGGATGTATGTCCAATAGTGGATCTGATGGGTCTCAGGTGACTCTGTGATTAACCCTTAAGGAACTATCAAATTGTTTTGCAAAGTATTTGCATTGTTTTGCATTTCTATAGCAATGTATGAAGGTTTTATAGTCTCTAAGTCCGCTCCATTGCTTGTGATTGTCTTTCATTTTTTTTTTCTTGTAAATTATCACTCTTATACACTAAACAATTTCTTTTTTCCTAAGATTTATTTATTTATTCTTATTGGAAAGGTAGATATATAGAGAGGAGGAGACACAGAGAGAAAGATCTTCTATTCTCTGATTCACTCCCCAAGTCACTGCAATAGCCAGAGCTGAGGCGATCTGAAGCCTGAAGCCAGAAGCCAGGAGCTTCTTCTGGGTCTCCCACATGGGTGCAGGGTCCCAAGGCTTTGGGCTATCCTTGACTACTTTCCCAGTTCACAAGCAGGGAGCTGGATGGGAAGTGGAGCAGCCTGGATAAGAACTGGCGCCCATATAGGATCCCAGCATGTGCAAGGCAAGGACTTTAGCCACTAGGCTACCACACCTCTTTTTTTTTTTTTTTTTTTTTTTAGATTTCCTTTATTTATTTGAAAGAGTTACAGAAGAGGAGGGAGGCAGGAAGGAGGAAAGGAGGAAGGTAGTATGGGGAAGAGAGAGAGAGAAAGAGAAAGAAAGAGATTTTCCATTCATTGGCTCACTCTCCAAATGGCCACAATGGGTTAGAGATGGGCTAGTCTGAAGTCTTGGACCTGTATCTTCCTCTGAGTCTCCCATGTGGGTGCAAGGCCCAAGGACTTGGGCCATCTTCTGCTGCTTTTCCAGGCCATAAGCAGGGAGCTGGATGGGAAGTGGAACACGCAGAACTAAAACCCTCAACCTGGTGCCCATATGGGATGCAATTGCTCCACCCGTGAGGCCCCAGCCTAGATCCCTGTCTTTCTCTGCAGCCATCTTTAGTGATTCCTCATTGCGGTTTTTTATTCACATTTTCCTGATGATTAGTAATATTGACCATCATTTCATGTGCTTGTTGATCATGTAGTTCTGCTTTGGTGAAATGTCCATCTTGATCCTTTGTCCTCTTTTAATTGCTTATTTGTCTATCTATTATTGGCTTGTTAACGTTCCTTCAGTATTCTAGATATAAACCATCCTATGTCTAATATGTAATTTAAAAAAATTCTCTGCCATTCTATGATTTTGGTTTCTTCCACTTTGTTGTGGTTCCTGGATTTTGCAAGGCTTCATTAGGGGGACTATTATTTTGCTCTCTGAAGTTGATTACATTCTGAGTAAAGTTGTGTCTGGAGTTAGAGATGTGCTTTATTATAAAGACTAAGGACAGCACAGCTCTGTTTATGCTGTTCACTGAATGAAAAAATGTGTGCCAGTTGGAGAGGGTGTGTACTAATCTGTTGTGTGAAATTTTGCTGAATTCACTGAAACATTATTGTTCATGCTGTAGAAATTCATGGGAATTCTAGCCTTAACTCTGAGCATATGATCCCATTGTAATGGCCTTTATGCCTTCCATCTTTGATAGGCTGAATTTGGCTTTCCAGAAGTCAAACTAGGACTTCTTCCTGGTGCAAGAGGAACCCAGCTTCTCCCTAGACTCATTGGAGTGCCTGCCGCCCTTGACTTAATTACCTCAGGTCAGTACAAACCTTGCCAATGAGTGTCTGAATCAATGTGAGGACCTAGACCAGAATTAACAAACATCCTGGCTTGCCCACTAACTACTCTTATAATCTTACAGGGAATAGACGCTTAATTTTCTCATCTCTAAAATGGAGAGAGACACATTTCCCAAGAACCTCTTGACTGTTACCATGAAGATCAAATGTGAGAGCCTTCTAAATGAGTGTGTGCAAAATGCGAATTAAATTTTGGGTTTTATTGTAGATCCAGTCACTATTCATAGACATGAGTGTTCATTCCTATACGTTAAAAAATTATAACACAAATAAGCATTATGACCATGATAACCCTTCAAGGCAAGGTTTCAAGTTTTATTGTGGAAATGAGCTAATGTTTTGATTTCAAGTGTTAGGATATTATCTGTTAGTGTACTTTTTTTTAGCAGGGATTATGAAAAATACAGCTTTGGACTCTGAATTTATTCCCATATTGTTGTTTGTAAGCTACATAAAGAGATGCTCAATTCAATTAAAACTGAAGGAAGAACCTATAAAACAAGTTACTCCAAAGAAGAGTAACTAATTATAAGAACTTGGATCACTCAGTTGGCTTTTTTGTGCCTTGGTTTCCTCATAAATGTGGATAATAATAATAATAGTTACTATCTCATGATATGATGAAGCTTAATGGCCTCATACACATCATATTTGCTTAGAATAAGTAATTATGATAATAATAAATATGTTAACTTCTATTCTTATATTTGTTTACTTGGTAAAAGAGAGGAATTGGACAAGAATAAATGGGAATTTTGGCCGTAGACTGTCTTGGAAAGAATAGTCAATAAAGTGAGCTGACATTTTTTTTAATGAAAGAGCTCACTCTACTACCTATAGACAAAATGCATTGTTCAAATAATTTTTTAAGTGATTGTTTTTCAAGTGATTTTTAATTATTCATGTAGCAACTTCTAATTTTCTCTGACAAACTGGCCTCTAGCAGTGATCGGAACTGACAAAAATTCCTGACATCAAGGAGAGTTTACTGAGTAAACATCTATAAGCATTATTGTTGATTTTGGTCAGTTTAAAAATTACTCTCTACTCCCCATTCACTGAGGATCTTGATTTAATTGGTAGTGGGTTTGTTTTTTTTTTTCTGATTCTTTGCAAGTTCCTGTAAGTCAGGATTTGGGGGGTGGTTAGTGGGATTCTAGCCAAGGGTTTGTCAGGAGGTATCAGTCATCTGAGGCTTGACTGGCACTAGTGGATCTGCTTCTGAGATGGTCCCACCAAATGGCTGTTTGGTACAGACTGCAGAGAGGGGGCTTTGCTTCATCTCTGCATGGACTTCTGCAGAAGCTGCTTGCATGACTTCACAGCCTGGCAGCTGGCCTCCACTACAATGAGACAGTTAAGAGAGAAATATCTGTCGTGATCTAGCTTTGCAATAAGGTGCCATTTTCTGTTGGTATCCAAGTCTTCCCTATTCAACATGGGAGGAAGCTTTGTTGCCAAGAGATCAGACTCACTAGAGGTCACTTTATCCTGTGCACCACAACTATATATACACCTGTGCTGACATATCATATAATTAATGTAGACCAGAGGTTAGGTGGACATATGTGCTAAGGGAAAAACCAAGCAGAAAGGAGATAAATAAGATTTTTTTTTTAAGATTTATTTTTATTATTTTTTCATTGGAAAGGCGGATATACAGAGAGGAGAGACAGAGAGGAAGATCTTCCGTCCGATGATTCACTCCCCAGTGAGCGCAACGGGCCGATACTATGCCAATCTGAAGCCAGGAGCCTCTTCTGGGTCTCCCACGCGGGTGCAGGTTCCCAAAGCTTTGGGCCATCCTCGACTGCTTTCCCAGGCCACAGGCAGGGAGCTGGAAGGGAAGCGGGGCTGCCGGGATTAGAACCGGCGCCCATATGGGATCCCGGGCGTGCAAGGCGAGGACCTTTAACCACTTGCGCCACCGTGCCGGGCCCGAGATAAATAAGATTTTAGGGGATTGAAGATGATAGAAATATTTGTTGTCTACAAAAAAGACATCTGAATGGAGGAGCAGGTCAGGAACCCTGTCATAACAATATCTGGGTAGAAACATGAGATACAGAGAAAACAACAAGATCCCTGAATGTGGGGACATACTTACAAAGTTATAGGAAGAATGAGATTAATGTAGCTGGAGTGAAATAAGGGAAAAAATAGTAACGGATTAGTCACATCACATGGGATTTTGAAGACTATGGGAAGAACCTTGTACAGCATGTAGGCCCTACAAGGAATTTTTTCTGGATATAATTCTGAAGTTTCCCTAAAATCACACAGGTGAATCGAAGTAACAGGAATATGGCTCTAACATTAGGTTTTTTTCTAATCTACTGTGGCCCTTATGTGGAAATCAAAACACCCACTCCACCCCGTAGGCTGTGCACTGCTCTTCATTATGTTCAGCAGTGATATTTCCTGAAGCAGTGGTGGGAAAAGGCCAGGCCCACTTCACTTCATTTCATTTTGTTCAAGAAGCCGATTTTCTCTCAGATTTCCCCCAACATGCCCTCACCTAAGTGGTGAGGATAACATGATTGTTTCTGTTTACCAGTAGGGAGATTTTGGGTCTGTGACTGCTTTTTGTGGTCACACCAAAAATGAAAAAAATGGGAGTGGAGCTTGAATCCCAGTTCTCTGATTACATCTGCCAATTCTTTCTATTACAACAGTCCTTAATTGCTTACTTAGTCCTTGCTGTCCTTATTTATTTAATAAGAGTTATTTGTCTCCAGGAAACATAATATTGTTTGCAATAGAGAATACTTTTCCTTTAATTTCACATTTGATTTTTGTCTTGTTTTGTTGTAGGAAGATACATTACGGCAAGGGAAGCAGACAGGCTGGGGATTCTTGATGAAGTTGTGATTTCAGACCCAATTGAAGAAGCAATTAAATTCATCCAGAAAGTTTTAGGTAAGAAGTCACAATCAAAATAGAATAAAAATGTTTTGGAAACAAACTAAAAATCAATTTTAGTAAGGAACTCCTTAAATATTTTTCTGGGATATTCATGTGATGGAAGATAAGACAGCTTTAAAAAATAAGTGAACCATATACATCAGTGGTATTTGAATCCTGGAACATATTGCATTGCTAAGGGAGAAAACATTCTTGATTTCTATTGGAGATTTCTTTCGGTTAACCACCATATTCCCACATAGTAGTTTCCACTGCAGTAGCAAAATGAGATAATCTGATGGAATATATATTTATAAATACATGAAATCATTATCTGTTCTGCAAACCTTTTTATAAGGAGTAATGAGCATAGGGCCATATGGCCTCTGGAGTGGGAGCTGGTCATCCAGCTGGTACAGTTAGAAAGATGTTTTTCATTGTCTACTCTGCTGTACTTTGGGGATTTCTGTTCATACAAATCATTTCCAATTATGAATTAGAATTAAAACCACGAAGAAGCACACAACACTTCACCATGTGGTGGAGCTGTTTGCCTCTAGAGCTCATGTTAGCAGCTGAGCTCCATCCTTGGTCATGACTCTTACTTAATGGACTCATCATTTTCCGTCAAGAGTTCTTTTCATGGTACTCCTAGAAATTTGGTTTGTTTCATTCTTTCCTTCTTTTCAAACTTTTCCTTTTTGATCTGTGGGGTTGACAGCTTTCAATGAGCAAAATGGAGAGGGTAAAAATTTGCCAGAAAACCTGAAAAGAAGGAGTGTTGGACCACAGCCAGAACAGGGCATGCTCAGCTGTGCTTGCTGGCAGATAATGGCTTGGCAGCATGTGAAGAATTCTTTTGAAAAGTCAGTTTTTTTTTTTTTTTTTTGCCAACCCTGGCAGAGCCTAGTCTCCTAAAGGCATCTCTTTTGTGGCCCTAGCTGGTTACCAAGTCAGTGCCACAGTAGAAGCTAGGACTGTGTCTTTCAAGGGAGAGCAGCATGTCCTTACCCATGTGGAAGAGAGTGTCCTGTAGTCTCTGCTTTGAGAATGTCTCCTCCAGGTTTTCCTGAGAGGCCTTGTTGCTTTGTTTCAGGACACTTGGTTGCCCCACAGCAAAGGCTGTTTTGCATGTAGAAATCCTTGAATGTGTCATTGGTTAGGAATCGAGAAAGAACGATGTCCATCATTGTCTATCAAACCCCATCTGGGGTTTTAGTTTGAAAGACCTCAATTTCAGCAGCAAGTTTCTTTCCTCACCTATTCTTCCTTGATTCTGGTTGGAGTTAAGTTATTTCAACAAATAGATGAGGATCATGGTCTTATATGTTTATATAATGGTCTGGTTTGAATATTTAAAACATTTAGAATTAATTTTAAAACAAATTTAAAATATTTTTACTTATAAAATTTGTAAAGTGAGTTGGTTTCAGCAACATTACAGCTTGTACACCTGGTAACATTCAAATGTTAAAGTATAATCTGCTTTAAATCTTGCTAATTCAATTGTTAGCAGTTCTGGGCTATGGAGAGTTAGGCATAACTGCTATAAATTATAAACAATGGGCAGACTTGTGGTCTACCGGCAGGGACACCTACATCCCATATTAGAGTACCTGGGTATACATTCCCTGACTGGTTTCTGCCTTTAGCTTCCTACTAATCCAGATCCTTTGAGGCAATTGTAATAGTTCACATACTTGGATCTCTGTCCCTCACCAGGGAAGCAACAGATAATTGTGCAAGTAGGTGGATCCTTGTTGCTCATGTGAGAGACCTGCACTGGGATCCCAGGCACCACCTTTGTCTGGCCCAGCCCCAGCCATTGGAGGCATTTGAGGAGTGAGCCAGCAGATGGGAGCTTGGTTCCTACTGTCTGTTTTTTTTTTTTTTCTCTCTCTCCTTGCCCTCTCAAAGAAATAAATGAAGTCTTGATGAATAATATGTAACTGAATATAGTCATTTTAAATGGGTTATTGTGATTATTATTACCATAAAATCATATTCCCTTTGTTTAAGTAATATTTTCAAAGTTCTAGTCCCTTTTTATGCCTTTCAGATCAACCTCTAGAGTCACGCCGACTCTACAAGAAGCCAGTTCAGAGCTTGCCCAACATGGATGACATTTTCACTGAAGCCTTGATGAAGATGCGGAAGCAGCAGCCCGGGTGCCTTGCCCCAGAGATGTGTGTCCGTGCCGTGCAGGCTGCTGTGAAGTATCCCTATGAAATGGGCGTCAAGGAGGAGGACAAGTTATTTATGTACCTCCGGGGATCAGGTCAGGCTCGAGCCCTGCAGTATGCTTTCTTTGCTGAAAGGAATGCAAGTAAGTGGTCGACTCCCTCTGGAGCATCCTGGAAGACAACATCGGCACAGCCCATCTCTTCTGTTGGTGTTGTGGGTAAGAACATTGGGTGGTTCGTGGCATTCCCCAAATCTGCAGCCTAGTATCACTGGCTACCAGGTTCTGTGCTAAACTTTAACATTGCTTCTGTTAGCTAAGCTATTTCTCACCCAGCCTGTGTACTTGTCTTCATGCTGAACATGAGACCTGGAGACACTGTCTTTGCCTTTGGGATCTAAACACATGTGGTATCAGGGTCTACTTCTAGGTCTTTCAGATTTCAGATTCTGAGCCCTTTTGCTCATTCCTTAACTGGTTATAATGCCATAACTGGGCTGCCATCACTCAAGTACTTGGGGAATTGTCTGCTCCCAGGTGCATTAGCAGGAAGCTGGAAAGCAACAGAGCAGTTGAGACCCAAACTGGCACACCAGTTGTTACAGAACAACTTAACCTACTGTAGCATACCTGCCCCCTTTCTCGTGTCTCTTACATCTATGATTTGATCAACTGCCCTACTCTTATTTGAAAGGCAGAGAGGCAGAGACAGATATGGAGACACAGACAGACAGATGGATGGATGGACAGATAGAAAACTTGACTCCTCATGTATCTGTTACAGCTGGGGCTGCGCCAAGCCAAAGCCAAGAGCCTGAAACTTAATCTGACCCTTCAGCATGAGACCAAGGACCCTGTACTTGAACCTTCACCTCGGGTTTTCTAGTGTGTATCAGAAGGAAGTTGGAATTAGAAATGGAGCTTGTAGATAGACATTACAATCCCAACAGCCATCTTAACTGATGTGCTGGCTATCTCATCCAAAGCCTCTATTCTTGCTGTTCTTCACTATTTTAAAATTAATTGAAAGGCAGAAAAACAGAAAGTTAATTCCCATCTACTGTTGCACTCCCCAAATGTCCACAATGGCTGAGGCTAGTCCAGGCCGATGCTGGGAGATGGGACACAATCCGAGTCAACCACATGAATACGAGGGACCCAATCACTTGAATCATTACTGCTGCCTCCAAGGTCTGGAATTCATAGAAACTGAAATTGGAAACAGAGCCAGAACCCAAATTCAGGCACTTCATGGTGGGCTACAGGTGTTCCAAAGGCAGCTTAGCCACTGGACCAAACAACTGTGCCTATTCATCCATAACAGACATTCCTTCAGCTTCTCTCTTACCAACTGACTTGAAATGCCATGCTGCAATAGAAGCTTTCCATCTAGTGAGAATTTCCTAGTTCCCAAAACCATTGAAGCATTCTTTTTCTCCTTCTTTATCTACAGGTTTGGGAACAATGGGCCGAGGCATTGTCATTTGTTTTGCAAGGGCCAAGATTCCTGTGATTGGAGTAGAATCAGACGCAAAACAACTTGAAGCTGCAAGCAAGGTGATAACCTCTGTCTTGGAAAAGGAAAAATCCATGATGAAGCAAAAGGGCCGTTCTTGGTCTGCAATAAAACCCAGGTTAACTTCATCCCTGAACAAACTCAGTGATGTCGATTTAGTCATTGAAGCAGTGTTTGAGGACATGGACTTGAAGAAAAAGGTTTTTGCTGAATTGTCCACTGTGTGCAAGCCAGAAGCGTTCTTGTGCACCAACACTTCCGTCCTGGATGTTGATGAGATTGCTTCTTCCACAAACCGACCCCATATGGTCATTGGCACCCACTTCTTTGCACCAGCTCACATTATGAGATTATTGGAGGTGATTCCTAACAAATACTCCTCCCCCACTACCATTGCTACTGTCATGGGCTTAGCTAAAAGGATTAAAAAGGTTGGAGTGGTTGTAGGTAACTGTCATGGTTTTGTTGGGAACCGAATGCTGAGACCATATTATGACCAGTCACACTTCCTGTTGGAAGATGGCAGTAAGCCAGAGGAGATAGACCAGGTACTGGAAGAGTTTGGTTTTAGAATGGGACCTTTCAGGGTATCTGACCTTTCTGGGTTGGATGTGGGTTGGAGAATTCGGAAAGGGCAAGGCCTTACTGGGCCTGCATTGCCTCCGGAAACTCCTGTCCGAAAGCGGAATGACAAGAGATACTGCCCGATTGCGGATATGCTCTGTGAATCAGGACGATTTGGCCAGAAGGTAGGCAAGGGTTGGTATCAGTATGATGGGCCAATGGGTAGGATTCCTAAACCTGACCCTTGGCTTTCCCAATTCCTGTCAGAGTACAGAGAAACCTATGGCATTGAGCCTCGTGTCATCAGCCGGGAAGAGATCCTAGAGCGCAGCTTATACGCACTTATCAATGAAGGCTTCCGCGTTCTGGAGGAAGGGCTAGCTGCCAGCCCTGAGCACATTGATGCTATCTATCTGCATGGGTTCAACTGGCCCAGACACAGAGGTGGGCCCATGTTCTATGCCTCCACCGTTGGCTTGCCCACGGTTCTAGAGAAGCTGGAGAAATATTGCAGACAGAATCCTGATATTCCTCAGCTGGAGCCCAGTGACTATCTTAAAAAGCTGGCTGCTCAGGGAAACCCTCCTCTGAAACAGTGGCAGGATTTGGCAGGGCCCCCAAGCAGTAAACTGTAATCCAGGGCCCAGCTTACTCCTCATAGTTGGTTTTAGCTAATTCCAGCTGAGTTCCAATCAAATTATAGCCAAAATTATAGAACAAAAGAAATAGTTTATTACCTAATTTTAAGAATCATTCTCTGTATTTTGTCTCTATCAGACCATTGAAGGGTTAAACTGGTGGCAACCAAACACCCATAATACCTGATAGGAGAGCTTCCAGAACAAGTTGAGGTCCCCAAATGTTCTAATCATTGGAGAACTATATCATCAATTAATAAATGATGACTGCAGCTAAGTCATCACTCATTTGCCCCTTTCAGCCTCACACACTTAGTAGTGATGGGAAATGCTACAGATCATACATCTAGTAAACATTGATGGAGAACTTCTCAGCAGCTCTCAGTCCTCACTTGGCACTTGGCAGACTAGATTCTGGGGTGTGTGGTTGAGGTGGGGAGACTTGGGGGCAGTTCATGAGAGCACTAGGGAAGCTACTATGCTGCCATTTAGTGAATGTGCTCTGTGGTGAAGTGCAGAGTTTGGCAGGCTAGAGTCAGAATGAAGGTCTCTGTGACAGGGCATGGAAAGCTGCCCAAGGACATCAGCAGAGGTGGTAACCGGAGAGACACTGCTGTGCCTTGGAGGGGTTAGGTAAAGCACAGGTGGGCATGGTGAAGGAACCCAGCGCTTCAGAGCAGATTGAGGAACGGCAACTGAGCTTGGTAAGTCAAATTCAACACATGACACCTGTCTAAGGCCCAGTCCCACAGTTGCACTTGCTGTCTGCAGGGGATTCAGTCATGTCTGTTGATCATTTCCACAGAGAGTGGACATGCACAATATGGTCTTTACTTTTCTTCAAAGGGAGCAATAGGAGGTGATAAGTTGTTAACTTAGTGTTTGAAGGAGTCTTCAAGATCATTTCATTTTCTAGGATTTCATAATTCTTGTCATAGTCACATGCCAATTTCTCTGTCAGGATAAACCTTAGTGATGTCACATATGAAAATGGTTATTTCTTAAAGTCTAAAAGGACTGCGAAAGTTTTATACCTTCTTGTTTTGTGTGGTCAAACTAAGGGGCTGAGCAGCATGAAAACGTTACAGAAAAGGGACAGAGTGATTTATAACAACTAAAAATTGAAAACAGTCCAAATGACCTTAAAAGAGAAATGGATAACCAATGGGTGACACATCCATACAATGAGCTTTATTATTCAGCCCTGAAAACTGATGAAGTACTGGCCCATGCTATAACATGAGTCTTGAAAACACTTTGCTCTGTGAAAGAAGAGAGAAAAGACCAAGGATTGTACTCACGTGTATATGGAATGTTGTTTGCCCAAGGCTTAGAAGTGCAGAAGAATGGGGACTGGAGAGTGACTATTAGTAGAACTACAATTTCTTTTTGGGTTGATTTAAATGTTCTAACATTATTGTAGAAATGAATCATAACTATGATTATACTAAACCAATTGACTTGTATATTTGAAATGGGTCAAGTGAATGGTATGTGCATTATAAAATTAGACTAACATTCTAAAGAGTAGTATAAGTGATTTATTCTCATAATGTTTCCCCTGTGATTTCATGCAAAATTATATCCCATGTAGTATCTTGCAAGCAAATAAAGAAAAAGCAATAATTTGGCTTGAACTGTGGTTAATTTTGAAAGACTTTTATGATGCTTACTAGTAGGGCGGGTGGAGGCAGCAGTAGCCACATGCACAACCTAAAACAGGGTGTAGGGAAGGTCAGGCCACACCACCTCATACAAAGGCCTGGACAGATGGGGCAGGCCATGTCAGGTAGGGGCCAAGTACCTGCTGGCATGTGTGAGATCTGGGTCTGGGAGTGGCCTGAGCAGGGGAACTTGGGAAACTACACTAGTGGGTCATAGCTCCCGCTGATGAGCACATGGTCCAGGACTGGGTGTTGGACAGGCTGGGCAGTGTAGCTCCATTTGTAAGCATGTGTGTGAGTTGGTTTGGGAAGAGGATGGACCAGGCACAGCTGAGCAAACCATAGCCTACTTGTGAATACAGACACCAGGCTGCAATGCAGGTCATGCTGGGCTATCACACCTACTGGTTTGCATGAGCCAAGGATGACAGCAGACTGAGCAGGCCCAGGTTGCAGCACCCACCAGCAAGGGTTGGGGCTGGCTGGGTCAAGCCAGGCTGCAGCATGCGAAGGCAGAGGCCATGACAGGAGAGGGGCTATGCCAAGCTGTGTCAGAGCAACCAACTGACATGCATGAGATCTGTGGCTGGGATCAGGCCTTCTTGTGGAGCTAAGGGGACACCATGGCTGGGTTGTGGGTCCCTCTGGTGAGCACAGGGGCCAGAGTAGGGGCTGTGATCTTGTCTGAACATGGCTGCAGTCTCCCTTGGCATGGGTGTGGACTGGGTCTGGGGTGTGCAAGTCTGTGCTAGACTCCAGCACCCATTGGAGCTCGTGAGAACCAGGATGGGTGTAGGATGGGCTGGGTTAGGTAGATCTCTGTCCCTGCTGAGCCGTATGTGAGCTGTGTCTAGGTATGGACTAGGATTGGCTGGGCTGTAGCGTCCAATAGTAAGAACCAGAATGGGTGAAGGCCAGTCTGGAAAGGCTACTGTTCTAGCTAGGGCAGGAGGTGAACTAAGTAGGCACGTCCCATAGACCCACTGGTGGGCATGAGATCTGGCATTGGGAGAGGTTCTGAGGGAGGAGCTTGGCAATTCCTGTCAGGACATAGTCCCTGCAGGTGAGCACAAGAAACCAGAAAGGGAGCAGTCCAGACCAGGCTCGGTTGTGGTACCCACTGGCTTACCTTTGGCTCAGCTCTGGGGCAAGCCAGGTTGCAGGCAAAATCTGAGAGCCAGAATGGTGGGTCTTGCCAGGTCGGGCTGCAATACCAGCCAGTTCACATTAGGACTTGGGGCTGGCTGGGCTGATTATGTTGTAGTCCCCACCAGCATGAACTGGAATTGGGGGCAGGCTGGGCCAGGCCAGCCTATAGCACCCACTGGCAAATGCTGAGGTGAAGCGGGCCATACCAGACTGGGCTGCAGCACCCAGCCAGCACATGTGAGATCCAGGAGAGAGTGGGAGAACCCATTAGGGGGACTGCAGTGAGCTCCCTTGTTGGGTCGCTGTTCCCACTGGTGAGCATAACTGGGAAGTGGGGGGGGGGGGCAGACCAGACCAGGAAGAGCTACAATACCTGATGGCCTACATGTAAGCTGGATTGGGGACAAGCCAGGCTAGGTGGTCTGTACCTACTGGTACATTCATAAGCCAATGTGGGTGAGGGTTGATTGGGTTTTGCTGCAGTATGAGCTAGCAGATGCTGGCACAGGGGGAAAACAATTGAGCTAACCTGCAGAGCTATCGGAGAGTGTAAGATCCAGAAGTGGGAGTGACCCAGTAGGGAAGCAGTGGGCACCTCCCTCTTGAGTTGCCATTCCTGCTGGTAAGCAAGAGAACCAGGACTGGGGCAGGCATGGCTAGACAGATGGTGCACCTTCTGGCACCAGTGTGGCCTGGATAGTGGGGCTGGTTGGGATGAAGTAGGTAGGCATCACTGACCATTGACATGTGTAAGACCTGAATAGGATGTGGGTGGACTGTTGTGGGCTAAGGAGTTGACTAGCACTCCTTAAGCTGAGCACTACAGGGAGCGGGCTTGGAGCTAGAAGCACCTGGTCTAATTGGACTCAGCTGTATCCAATATGTGCTAATGAGGGTGTGAGGGAAAGAGTAAACAAGCAGAGGTGAAAGGGCAAATAAAAGAGACTTCAGAGAGAGACTTCGGAGAGGGACTTCCACCATCCCTGGTCTCCTGTTGGTGCTTCATCCCCAGATCCTCGCCGCGTCCACATTATTGGCTTTGCTGGCCAGAACAGTAGACAGAACTAGCCTGCTGTACATACTGGCAAGCATAGGAACCGGGGCAGGAGGCAAGCCTGGTGGGGATTATTGCAGGTCACTCCAACCAGGCTTCAGCTCCCATTGGTTTGTGTGGGAACCAAGTGTGCGATGGGCAGGATTGGGCTGGACTCCAGCACTCATTTGTTTGCATATAAAACAGGGCTGGAGACAACTGACCCAGAACTTGCAATTAACAATATGTGTGTAGGCCGATTTGGGCGATGGACTGCACTGGACCCTGCATTGGCAAACACACAAGAATTACATCTAGGATCATCTCAGATGAGGTTTCTTTGGCGATTCCCTTACAACTAAACCACTGCACTCAGAACTACTACCATGGAGAGAATTGTAGGTTCCATGGTCTGACTGTGTAGTGCAAGTGTGTGAGCTGAGCCACTTCAGTGGCTTAGACAGAGTAGTGGAGAGTATATCCAGATGCACGTGGAAAATATGGCAGTATATTGGAGCCTGAAGGAGACACCTGGTACCACAACAGGACGGAGGACAGAACAAATCCATCAACTACCCCAGCCAAGAACTGGCAGTGAGTATCTAGGCAAACGGATACTCTAAGGTGGACTATGTCAACCAGTGGATTCTGGAGAGATTTCATCGTGATTGGAGTGGTGAGATTGACTGCAATTTAGAAATGTTGAACTATTAAATCCACTTGAGCAGGACCCTTGGAGCATGCTCCACATTGGGGACCCTGGGATGGTTGGAAGGCTGGGTGTGGCTTCTCCCTTTTTTTTCCCCTTCCCCCAGATACAGGAAGGAAAATAGAGAACGTCAAAACAGTGGTCTCACCCACTCTCTTCTAGCCCTTGACCCTTCGCACCCTAATCAAATATGCAAAAATTGTCAAAAATATACAATAAAATATACAACATACAATTTAAAATTTTTTAAAAACAAAACAAACAATAAAACAAATCCTGTTTTTTATACCCTGCATTCCTGATGACATTTGTTGTAAATATGCATTGTCAATATTATTAATATGAGACTATCACATATTAACAAGGTGCTTAATATACTGTTTATTTCACTATCATATCCTTATTCCTCAATTTCTTTATTAAGCATAAAAATATAGAGGCAAAAATATATGGTTTTTATATCAGTAAGTGCATTATACATTAGAGACTTATACTAAAAATGTACGTGATGTGCTGTCCAGAGCGTCAGGCAGGCAGGGAAGACTTGTTCTCCCAGGTGCACAATGTGCTGTCCAAAGGTGGCCTTCTTAGGTGACTGCCTCATTCAAGTTCCCAATTTCTCCCCAAGGTAGCTGGCATCCAGTGATCTCTCAGTATATTACAGATGCTGGATCTCCCTGTTCCAACCAACAGGATTCATACAGCTCTAATAATATTGTGACAGTGACTAGGTTGAGGCTTTCACTGATTCTGCATGGCTGATCAACTTCTCCCTCTGGTCCTTGCTGCCTTCCCTGTCTGTTCACATGTGCAAGCCCCAAGGTCACTACCTAACCATTCTGCTCCTGATCTCCATCTCAGAGGCTGCTTCTTTGAACAACCATTCATCCCTATGTTAGCAACTCTTTAGTGTTTATTTAAGTAGACATTCTGTGTCCTCACATGCCACCAACTTTGATGAGCATCCAGTGTGCGCTAAAAAACCACGTATATTCTTTTTTTGATGAGATGGTATTCTCTGCTAAGATCAAACATGTGAATCATCTTGTCAGGTTTTCTATATAGTGTTGCCAATGTTTTATCCATAGTCCTATCTCCATCAGAACATCCTGGTCAAACATTGATGCCGGAGTGGTGATTCCCTGCCTTGACATGAAGAACCAGAAGTCACTGAGTGTTCTTCTTAGCTCAAGAGATTCATACTTTGTCCTTGGCAAGACAAAGAAGCTAGCACTTACACAAAACATTTGTTATTCAGTCAAGAAATAAAAGCTCTGCGGGTGTTAAGTCATTGCCTGCCACACTAACATCCCATATGGGTGCCAGTTCAAGTCCTGGCTGCTCCACTTCCAATCTAGCTCCTTGCTAATGTGCCTGGGAATGCAGTGGAGGGTGACTCATTTGCTTAGGCCCTTTCAATCCACATGGGAGACCTGAATGAACCTCCTGACTCCTGGCTTCAGCCTGGCCCAGCCCCAGCCATTGCAGCCATCAGCTGAGTGACTCAGTGGATGGGAGAGCTCTGACTCTTCCTCTCTCTGTGTAACTCTTCCTTCCAAATAAACCCTTAAAAAAAGAAACAGAATTCATTCAATGAGCCACTATACTTTTTCTCTTGTTCCCATAAACCTCAAATCTACTTATTGGGAATACAGCGCCATGCATTGGTTACTGAAAATTAGAAATCTGAACTGAAATTAGAATACCACTAATTTTCACTTGTGTAACTGAACAAGGACATCTTACAAAGTAGATCCTAGGTTGAAAAGTGAAACAAACCTAAGAAATGCAGTAGAAATGAACCACTTCCAACACTGGGCTGGATATAATGTGGGCTTCCTTGCTGCACTCTCCAGCAGATGGTGCTGGTGAGTTCCTGCAAAAATTGCAAACTAGGTATTTTTAACCAAGTAATACAGCATACTTCATAAACTAAACACGGATTTGTATAACTTTACACACAGTATTCTGTTGGATTCTGTGCTCGGTGAATGGGTGTGATGTGAGTCACTTTCATAATTAATGAGTAATTAAGTAGGCAGAAATTCAGCAGTAACAGCAATTGAAATTATTCATTTCCAGTGATCATCATGTACTTGATTTCCAATAATCTTTCAGACTTAAAACATTATACAACATGTACATAATTTTCTTTAGCTCTTGCCCAGCCTGCAAAAGTGAGCACAATACCATTTCACTTTTTTTAAACCTAATTGCTTATTCATGGAGAAAAGAGTCATAAAAAGCAGCAGACTAATACTTTAAAATATGGATAAGAAGTTTAAAAATAATTATTTAATAGCTGAATTTATTATTCTTGCCACACAATTTCTCTATTAGACTGTAAATTCAGACCATTTTTAGTGCTAGATACAAATCATGTACTGATATAATATGTCAAGCAGTAGTCCACTGGATCATTTTCCAAGAATCACTAATTTCACGGAGCATACACTACGACAGTAGGTAATCAGGCTTTGTAAGCTGCTACAGATTTGAAGATTTCATGGCAACTGGAGGTCCCTGACCTCTTATTTTATTCTCTAAAATGTAATCTTTCTGTGAAATCGCCAGTACCCGTCTTTCCCACAACTACATTCTAACTTTTAAAAAATTTTTCAGTTGTTGATTTTTTTTTTTTTGTCTTTAAATCATTATGGTCACTATTCCCTAGAGCCTTCAGAATTGGAAAAAGTTCCGCCTGCTGGCTGCCCGGCCAGGGAGCCCTGGCATTTTTGGGTTCATTGATTGTTGCTCAGACAGCTCCCTACCGAAGCTGCAGTGCTTGGCCGATGTGAAAGTATTCTATGATTCCCAACGACAGAAAGTCTTCCTCAGAGGAGCCTGAAACCAATACGGTGTCAACACATGTGTTTGGCTCGCAGTGAGGGAATCTCAACTGAACTTAAACTGTGGTTACACAACAAGGTGGAGGTATCCACCATGGGGATTGGGGGAGGATGGGGGGAAATCACAATACCTACAGAACAATGTCTCATAATACAATGTAATCAATAAAGGAAAAAAAAGAATTGGAAAAAGTTATTTGCCTAATCATCTAGTTATTTGGATAAGCTGTACATCTGAGAGATTGAGAGGTACACACACTGAGGAACCTGGCAGGGTGCTGGGACTTTGCAAATTCTCATATACACCCGCTCGCACACATACCGAGGCACACACACAGCATACATTTACACCATAAACGCCATTTATATAGCTATAAACACTTATACTCATCCTCTGCCCACACCCCACATAGCTGTACACACAACACTCATATAATAAACATCGTCTATATAATTATTTGTACTCACACACAACTCATCTGTATACACCCACACCCAAGCACACACAGCACACACTCCATAAGGACTCTAATGCTACGAATCACACATACACACCAACAACACACACTCCCCAATCAACGTGCACATTCCAAGTAAGGTGCCTAAAAAACGCACCAGAATACACACAACGCTCACGCTCCTGCTCCGGGTCCCGAACAGTGGGACGCCTGCTGAACGGCGAGTCAGCAGTGACACCCCCGGCCGCGCTGCAGCGGGACGCAGCCGCGAACACCTCGTGAGCTTGGGCACCTCCCGGGGTCTCGGGGCACAGACACTGGGGGAGCTGCGACTGAGGGGACGTGGGGCGCGCGTGACAGAGAACAGCGCCCGGGGGCGCGCCTGGGGCAGCGTCCGTCCGTTCTCCTCACGCGCCGGCACGGGCGACGTGTGCGGGACGCGCGGGCGGGCGGTGCCGAGGCGCCCCGGGCGGAAAGCGGCGAGGGAAGCCGGAGCCGGGCCGGGATCGCCCAGGGCGCGTGCGCGCGTGCGCGGGGGGCGCGCCCGGCGGAGGGCGGAAGGGAGGAGGCGGCGGAGGCTGGGCCGCGGTCGCTGCGCCCGCTGGCCCGGGGCGGCTCCTCACGAGCCCGCGGCCGCTCCTCTCCTCAGCCGCCGCTCGTCAGGCGCCGCGCGCTGCCCGCCGGGTCGCGCCCGCCCCGCAGCGAGTGCCGCCTGCTCGCTCGGCCGTGCCCGGCCGGACGCCGCCCGTCCCGGCTGCCGCGCGGGGGTCCGCGCCGACGCGGAGATGAGTGCGGCGGCGCCCGCGCCCGAGCGGGGCTGGAAGAGCGAGAAAGTGGACGAGGCGCAGGCCCTGGCGCGGAGTTGCGCGGCCCGCAGACCCGACTTCCAGCCGTGCGACGGGCTGTCCATCTGTGCCACGCACAGCCATGGCAAGTGCTTCAAGCTGCACTGGTGCTGTCACCTAGGATGGTGTCACTGTAAGTCGAGTGGCGTGTCCGCGCCTTCCTTCCGGGGTCGCGGCGGGGACTGGGTGGTCGCCGTGGGGCTGCGGGCTCTGCGGGGTTCACGGTGTCCCACGCTGGGCCAGGGCTGCCCGCGGCTCGGGTGGGCAGTGCCCTGGCAACGGGGCGGCTGGCGGGGCAGTCCGGCCGGAGCCACTTCTCCAGCTAAAACGTGCTGGTCCTGGACTGGCTGGAGTCGGGGTGTGTGCCTCACCTCTTGCAGATGACCGGGATGGGGCAGCGTGGAGGGAAATGGCAGAGCAGGTGGAGTTGAGGGGAAGCCTTTTTTCTTGGAGGTGATGATGGAGGTTCCCTCTTTGGCCCTTTCACTTTGGTTTCTCCCCTGGGGTGCAATTTAAAGTAAAACCGCCCCTGGAGTCGAATTGTGTGCCTTTCAGTGTGTTATTGAGAAGAAGGCTCTCTGTGGGAGGTTGCATCTAGGAAGGTAAGGTCTGTGTGGGCAGACCCTATGCTTACCAATTGCTGCATTTGGAGTCAACCTATGAGTCTATTATCACAAAGCAAAGTAAGTATAGGTAACATTCACTCAGTTTTGCCATAGCAGATCCTTTTCTGTATTTGCTTAGAATTCAGTTTTTGTCCGTTATGATAAGTTAGAGTATGTACATTTAAAATTTTTTTAATTAGACATTTGTAGGGTTTTTTTTTTTATTGGAAAGTCAGACATACAGAGAGACGGACAAAGAAGAAGATAATCCACCCAATGATTCACTTCCCAAGCAGCCGCAATGTCCAGAGCTGAGCCGATCCAAAGCCAGGAGCCAGAAGCTTCTTCCTGGTCTCCCATGCAGGTGCAGGTCCCAAGGTTTTGTGCCCTCCTCAACTGCTTTCCCAGGCCACAAGCAGGAAACTGGATGGGAAGCAGGGCCGCCAGGATTAGAACCAACACCCATATGAGATCCTGGCACATACAAGTGAGAACTTTAGCCACTAGGCTATTATGCTGGTCCCTTATTTTTCTTTTAAATCCCAAGGGAAACTCTTTGCTCAACTATTCTTTATGATAGAGGGACATGTGGCAACAATGGGACAGCAGTGTACATAACAAGCCTATGTAGGCATATTCAAGAAGTGTGGAAGTGACTAACGAAGGAATGACTTCATGCTAAGTAGCAGTTACGGAGACAGTTATTAGATTGATGTTGTCATGCCCTCTAAGAGCAGCAGCGGAGATGGCTAACACCGCTGACATAGATATAGCAGTGATGTCGGCAGAGCAAGGGGAAGACCAGCATGGCGGCAGACCCAGGGATGAGATGACAGACATGAGCAGCCATTGAACAGCGCTGCAAGACCTTGAGGTTGGGTGCCCACTTACACCATCTCCAGCAGGTGCCGCAGCAGCCTTGTCCCCATCCCTGTCCTCTTGGGAAGCCAGATTTGTACTCCTGCCAGGTGATATTTCACATGCGCAGAAACTTGCTACTGGTGCAGGCAGAAGACAGCAAGCTCTTCTTCAGCTGAACTAGGGAGACGCTTGAGAAATGGCCAGTGACATTCCCGTGAGTTGAGAAGCTGCCTCAGAACTGCTGCATGCCATGCCTGTTGACTCTCCTTGTTCCAGCAGGAATGTCAGGCCATTTGGAGCAGGCCAGCCTTTCCAGCTAACCTTTGTGGAGATGGTCAAGGTGGTGAAGTGTCCATGACTGTGTCCCCCTAGGCAACAGAGCTGATCACTCCCAGGAGGTCATTGTTGGTTGTTGGCTTCCAGAGGAACATGCACCAGACTGGTGGTGACTGGCTGCTATGGCCAGGTCGGCTGGCATGGGTTAGGCAGTTGTCCTTGCTGTGTTGAATGGGTGACTACTGCTAAATACCATCTAGTAGTTGGGACCTGGTTTTGATTTCAAGAAGTGAAAGACTTTCCATGACAATCATCATTAATCATCAATGTTTACAAAACCTCAATGAGCAGAAGTATCTGTTATTTTATCCTGTGAAATTCCTGGGCCCTTGGTGAACTGTGCAGTCCATTCCTTGTAGAAAACCATGTCTTAACCTGAGCTGCAAGGGGCAGGGGGTTGGGCCTTTTTCAGCTTTAATCTGCCTAGGACTGGCATGCTGAGTTTATAGGTAAATGGAAGCAGCATTGGAAATTACAGTCTAGAAATGGCAGGGGAGAAAAAGAGGATTGACAGATGCAAAATTTATCAATTTTACTTTTTTCTCCATGATTATAAAAGAGATCTGGTGGTGTACGTGTTTGATAGATGCTAGTACTTACTGAGTTGAAATGCCTAATGTATGCATCTTATGTATTCCAAGTCTGTATCATGGCCCCCTAGTTATGAGGTAGGTTTCTTTTCAGAAGGCTCAGGTAGGTGAGTGTTGTACTAAGGACAGACTCAGTCGACTTGTAACTTGTCCTAAGAAGCCAGCACCCTGGAGCCAGGCTGTTCAAAACCAACCCTTCCTGGCAGTCACGTGGTTTTCTGCCCTTTTCCCTGACATGCTTGGTGGTGCAAGTAAGGTGGTAGCACTTCAGAGAAAGACCCAAGAATTTGTGGTGCTTGGGAGTAGAATTCTAAGAGTGAAGAGAGAGTTGGGCCTGAAGATGGGTGTCAGTTCCTGATGCCTTCTGACCATTGGATGTGTTAAGCATGGGGCCCAGCTGATTTTGACCACCAGTATGGCGCTGGATGGGAAGCAGGACAACTGGGATTAGCACCAGCACCCGTATGGGATCTCATCGTGTGCAAACTGAGGACCATAACCGCTAGGCTGCACCGGGCCCTTCTCTTACTATTTCAACTGTTATGTGGGAAATTATCTCTCCTTGTGAAGATTTATTTATGTTTATTGGAAAGGTAGATTCACAGAGAGACAGAGATCTGGTTCATTCCCTGAGTGGTTGCAACAGCCAGAGCTGAGCCCATCCAAAGTCAGGAGCCTCCACTGGGTCTCCCATGCAGGTACACATTTCCAAGAACCTAGGCCATCCTTCACTGCTTTCCCATCCCATAAGCCAGGAGCTAGATGGAAAGCGGAGCAGCTGGGACGAAAACAAGTGTCCGTATGGAATGTTGGTTCTTGAAGGTAGAAGATTAGCCTGTTGAGCTATTGTACCAGCTCCAGGGAAATTATCTCTTCCTAAATTATCTCCTACAGAGATTCTTACTTGAATGTTTTGGAACCTGAATATGGTTTCAGGCGTTCGCTGCCACATTTGCTCCTATTGCTAGGAATGCCCTCTTACACATGTGGGACCTGCTGGAATCCCAGGTCCATCTCCCAGAACAGTATCTTTCACATGTGATTTGCTTTAATTCTCATAACTAGAACACTCGCGTTTTACACAGCAGCTCAGACACGCCTCTGTGGGCATACACAACTGAAAAAAATGTTTTTACATGTTATGTAGTTTCTTAGCTCTATTTTCTTTGTTTCTTTGTAGAACTGCTGGTAAAAAGTCACAGACTTGGATTTTATGATGTGTGTGTGTGTTTGTGTATTTTAAACTGCAAAAGTTAAAAAAAGGCCTCCTGTGATCAAAGAAGCCAAAGATTTTCGCCCTCAGAAAATATTATCCTTCCAGTCCCTAGTTCTGCATACCTGACAGTGTGAGACCAGAAAGTATTTAAATTCTGTGGCCTTCGTACTGCCAGGAGCTTATGGTCCTTTCCACTCAGCTTGATCCCACTAATACTGCGTCTGTGACAGCCATATTTTTCCTTTTTTTCCCCCATTTTTTCCCCCTGTTTTAACAGTTAAGGAGAACATAAGAAATAAAAGATGAGGGCTTGGTTGCATTGGAGAAGGTACTCTTATTTCCAGTTCACTCATTGAATTTGTTTTGGCTTACTGGTTAGCTGCCACTTTCCCAAAAGGAAATAGTCTTGTCCTATGTGAGGACATTTTACTCAAAGGTGAATTTGCTAGGGAGCAAATTTCCATTTGCTGGTTCACTCCCCAAGTGCCCCCAGTGACTGGAACTGAGCTGATCCAAAGCCCGAAGCCAGGAGCTTCTTCTGAGTCTCCCGGTCACGAGGCTTTGGGCCGTACTTTAATGATTTCCCAGGTTATAAGCAGAGAGCTGGATGGAAAATTCAGGAACTGGGACCGGCACGTATATGGGATCCTGGTATACAAGGCAAGGACTTGAGCCGCTAGGCTACCGCACTAGGCCCAGATTAATTCAGTTTTGAGTACTGCCTGAAGTTGGTTGGTTTGGCAGTACCAGACAAAATGACTTTATGGGCCTTCTGCAGCCCATGGACCGGACATTCCCCACCCTGCTGTATAGGTTTGTAACTGAGGAGCGATGGTCTGTTCCATGTACCCAGGTGTGTAGTAGGCTATGCCATCTGGGTTTGTGTCCCTGTGTTGTGTTCCTAAAGCAATGGAAGTCTAAATGTCCCATTGTTACATGACAAATGGTCAAATAAGCCTTTTGGAGCTCTGATTATTATGTAATATTTAGAATCTGGTTTTTTTGTTTGTTTTTTTTTTTTACTATGAAGTTTGGTTTCTAACTAAAACCAGAGAGTTTATTTATTTGTTGTAGGCCAAAAGCAGGAAAAGTAATTATGTGAAAGGGAATTGTTTTTCCTTAGTTAAAGTATCTCCTTTATTCCCTGAGGTTGTTACCCATAGTCATTGGTTTTAGTCTTTCTCTTTATAGACATTTGTTTTTAAGATTTTTCTTTTTACTTTTTCTATTGAAGAACAGAGATTTTTTTGCCCTGAATATGCAGCGTTCCTGATTGGAATCTGGTGCTGCCATTTTTCCTTTAGTTACTCCCTCACTACTTTTCCCAGGTTATCCTGCTTCACTACCGCTTGGCACTTACAAAGCTCCTGCATGCAGGCAGACTTCTCCTGGCTCACTCTCTGTGTCATGGGCTCTCTCTCGGAGCTGACAGCTCTGCCGTGCCTTCCTCACTTATTAAAGGAAGAAATATCCTGGGAGCTGCCCTTTTTTCCCTTGGGAGACTCTTCAGTCTTGGCTTCAGCTG